TAAATGTGTCGTGTGCGTGTGTGTGGTGTGTGCTGTGGTGTGTGTGTGTGTGTGTGTGTGTGTGTGTGTGTGTGTGTGTGTGTGTGTGTGTGTGTGTGTGTGTGTGTTGTGTGTGTGTGTGTGCGTGTGTGAAAAGAAAATTTGCAAAACAAAACTACAGTGGACGTCTCATTTTTATGGAGGTACTGGGTTAATGAACTTTAAGAATGAAAAACAAGAAGTATTTCATGACAGCTGCCTCACTTATCAATCCATTGGGATTCGAATAACATTGCGTCATGTCATGGAAAAACTTGAGTTGGGTGGGAGGGTATTAACCATCCGGAAAAAATGGCTGCTGCCTGGGTGCCCGGGCTACTCGTCACACGCCCAGGATGTTGGCCACTTACGTAACCCATTAGCCATGCTTTTGGCGCCATAATTTCCATGATGCAACTGGATCCAACAGGTTAATGATCCAGCGTTATCAAACTATGATATTCCACCCATCACTGGCACAAAGCTGTTTTCACCTAGTCAAATATGAATAATAAATTATACAACACTAAAACTATTTAGATTTTAGAGAGAAATAGTCCATACCTGTTTCCATCTGCCAGACATAAACAGATCCATCTTGTGTAGCAACCATTAAGAAGTCATGTTCAGGCCTCCATTTCACCGTCAAAACAGGATAGAGGTGCTTGGAGGCTAACAGCACTAGCTTTCGTTCCTTTATACTTAGAAGTGCAACACTGTGGTCTTCTGATATGCTACAAATGCAATTCTGTATGCGTGGCTATAACAAAATGAAAAGAAAAGAAAAATTAATTTTCAGCAGCAGTGGACATTACATATAACTGTGGCCAATGGGATATGCCTATAATACTGAAAGGCATCTGAACATGGAAGAGTACACAGCATATTGCCACTAGTTACTGATTTTGCAATATAATTTCCTATAAAACTTATTTCATTATTTTTAAGACTGTTTCTTGGTCTAATTTCAACCTTGCGAGTATACTTAATAATCACTTTCATCATTTAAGTAAGCTAAATGCAATTTTCAACAACTGCTTTCACAGCTCCGAAAAAAAGGCATATAAACAGTAAAAAAGGTAAGAAAGTTTGAAGGACATGAAATACATATCTTCTAAAGACTGTGGTATAACTTACGGTACATGTGGGAGGAGGTACAAGTAGCTGGAGAATTTGTCCTGCTTGAACAACAAATCTGTGTACTAGATTGCCTGTGTACATGTCCCACACATTGATGGAAAAGTCTATTCCTCCCGAAACAAGATGTGCCATGTCATAACGTGAGCTTTCTCCATGAGGATATAGAAGGCAGTTGACTCGCCCTTGGTGGCCACGAAGAACCATAGGCTGAGCCCAATCTGTGAGATAACAACAATGTTCTTAGTACAGTTCATCTTGGTAAAGAGAAACACCTACATTATAAATGATGAAATATAAGGTCATTGCTCTCTTGATTCATTTATCCCATCCAACTGCATTACTTCCATATTAAATAGACACTTAATATACTGAAAAAACATATGTTAGGTAAAATGCAGTTCAATTCTGCAGTTTTATAAAAGCTAAGAATGCATTACATTACATTTCACTTATACGTCTCTATTTGGATATCAGCTCCTAATGAATTTCTCAGTACTGAGAAATTCATGTATCTGATCCTCAAGACTTTATGGAACACACTTCACCCTGAGGCTTATTCTTGGCTTTTGTAAACTCTTCATCTGCTGTTTACTATCTGCAGACTGTCTCTTCACAAAATTACCTGTCGTTCCACATAAGTGTATGCAAGAGCACATTTGTCACACAGCATTAAAGGTCACAGAAGAGAAGAACAGAGCAGCCTACATGAGTCTCTCAGTAAGACCTAATTGAAATATACACTTTTAATCTGTAATATGCATATTTCTAGTCATGTACCATACACCTATATATTGGGGTGTTCAAATGTTATTAATTTATTGCTAATCTGACAGTTCTATTTTAGTTATCAACTGCACTAGAATCTTCCTAGAAGTAACAGCATTGTTTGTTGTGTTGCTGATTTGAATAACCATTATCTTAATCATGGGTAATTCACAATATTTATCCTAAGAGAGCCATTTTGGTAGACTACATACATTATAAGAACTGCATCTCATGCAAATAACATCTTGCAAATCAAAGGAACTGGTTGAAATTTGTGATTAGTATAAAGATCTGTAAGATTAGATTTTAGTATTTAATGAGACAGAGAGCTGCTTATTAAGCTACTGGTAGCTTCATGTAGCCTAACAATGAATA